ACAAAATATATGTAGTTGAAACCATAAAATTACGTACAAATATTTAGATTTCGGCATTAAATAACCTATAGATGTTGATATGCCGCTAAACAAAATCAACTAACCAACCCCTGTCCTTCTTATTGGACTTTGAAGAGTAGAAAAGACCATATATTTTCTCTTATTTTTTTTTACTTAAAAACACTTCATTATTATCGTTGAACGGCAGATACCAAAATTGTTATTTACTTAGGTTGACTTAATCCTGGAGAAAGTCACAATATATTCTCAGAAACTCTGAGTATGACTAATAAAGCTCAACTTAGGCCGGATATACACTGAAAGTTAAACTTACGAACAATGGTCATCGAGAGAAGCTTGTCAACAGCAAGTTTTAAAGATGTTTCTAAGACTCGTTACTATTAGACCATGGTTGGGATATGTGAGAAACGAGGAAGCTTTAAAAACATTAGAACGAAAAGGACATTTGTATTTAGAATAAGATATATTTGAAATTTCAGACGGGTATTATGAGAAAAGAGGGCTTGGAAAATTTGACAATTACAGGGAATATTGAAACGGGGCACAAGAAAATAAGCGAGTAACCTACCCAACGAGCATATGTGAATAAATAGAAAAAAAATTATGAACCATGAGTGATAATGAGGGAGACAACAGAAAATAGAAACTGTGGAGAGCCATAGTCTCTCATGTCCTGAAGGAAGAGAACACATAAAAGACGAATTGCCCGAGGTGTATGCAAAAAGCATCTTTCGATACATGACTGACGAAGCAGATATTTTCCCGCAGTAGGTTGCCATTTCTTTCTGCGGTAGACCAGTTGCCATCCAAGGCTATAGAACTCGGCCTGTCTTGCAATTTACCCATAGCTTGGGGGTGGGGAGATGAAGAAGATTCATACCTTTCCCAAGTGAATGTAAGTGAACCTGACTGGAATTCGAACTCGGCTCTCCGATTTCTCAATTCGAGCCGCTATCCATTACTCCACCGTGCCTCCCGAAAACTTATATTGAAACTGATTCAAAGTGCCACTATGAACTGTGATAAAACTCCCAGTAAAATATATCCCAAATATATACTTTAGTCACTCAATGACAAAGTGGGTCGTGGACGGCGGCCATATTTTTAGAGATAAATGTAGATAAACTTTGAGAAAGTTAAATTATTTTTTTACTATTGTTCACGCTATACAAGGTCCAAGGGCCCCTCAAGGTAGAGTGTTACTGTCTGGTGTCGTATGGGCACAAGAAAAGATAGCTCATGAAGTTATGTAGGAAATATAACAGTCAACCCTAGACATGAAGATTGGGGAAGCATCCTGCTGGGAGCCTGTTCCACAAAGCAGCAGTTCTTAGTATGAAGTTGTACGAGTGGAACTTCTTATTGATACGTAGGTAATGAGAAATATTCATCCGTGTGTACGTGGCATGGTGGGTCCCAGCTGCAAAGGTCAGGGCTGGAAGTAACAAGGAAAGTATCTTGTCATAAAACTTGCCAAAAAAATAGCAATAGATTAGCTTGCGACGTTTTGTATGTGGGGAAAGTGGTTGTAGGGTGGAAAATAATCGCCCACAAAACTGCGAGTCCTATCAACATAGGCAAGGGAGGACGGAGCAGCTCCAGCTTAGATATGGTTGCAGCGTCAATCGCCATCTTCTGTTTTCCGCTATTATGTATCTTTATTGTCCTTTTCTTCACTTCTTCTCACTAAAGAGTTTTCGTTCTCTTTCACTCCACGTAACTCTTTGCGTCTTAGTGGCATTATCGCCTTGCTTGGGGGGTGAAATGATAAAAAAAACTCCATTTTTAGTCTGATTTGACTTTTGCAAAGATAACGTATAAGCAGGTGGGAGTTAGATACTTTCTGAACGAACCGACCATGTTTCCAACATCTTGTTCTGGTGAGCTTTTTTTTCTTAGTGTCTCGACTACGTGAATTTAAGCGTGCTACTCGATTAGCAACTATGTCTCTTCGTTTTGCTGTTGCAACTAGCTAGATGTTACCGCCGCTTCTATTCTAAGAGTTTATTTTCTCGCACTTCTCAACTGTCGAACATCTTTCCGATTTCTTGCTTCCCTGTCACCTACAGTCTTCAAAAATTTAAATGCAGCATCAGTCGCCATCTTGTCTTCCTGAAGCCTGGTACTTTGTGACGCTTTCGTCACTTCTCACTAAAGGCTTCTCATTCTCTTTCACTCCCTGTAAACCCTTTTGTTCCAGTGATATTATCGCTTTACTTGGAGTGAAATTATTAAAAAAAATACTCCATTTTTGGTCTCATTTGACTTTCGTAAAGATAGCGTATAGCAGTGAGGTCAGATATTTACTGGGGCGGTACAATGAACCGATCATTTTTCCAGCATCTTTATATTGTATAAGAGTTTCATTTGAGGTCTGGGGTGGGCATAGTTACGAGACGAATAATGGTCTTCGAGATTAGCTACTTTACACCAGGCGCCAAGGATAATGGACAAAAAAACAAAAAAACGAAATCAACAACAAAACGAACAAAAGCATCAAATGTGTAATTTAACAATGAACCCAACTGAATTCCTGCTGGAAATTTAATACAGTATTGTGTGCAGTCTGGAAAATGAGAAATAATAAAACAAGTTTAGTGTAGACCATCAAATTGTAACTCCCTGTAATTGTTTCGGGTTGGATGCCTAGAAACTTTAACTAAAAGTCTTTATTTACTTAAATAGGTATCGGTATTTCACAGTCGACCTACTCCCCCTCCATCTGTCTATGTATCTATTTCAGGTTGTTTCACGCCTATATATACATTTATATGTTCTCACAGTAGAAGTACGAAACATAAATGGAGAATTCGTGTGAGTAGATTTGGTTGCGCGGATAGCGTAACTGTTATCGAAGCGGAAAGCGGAATCAGCGAGCCGAGTTCAAGTTCCGTTCTAGTCTGTTGCGTTCACTTTCGCACTAATGCCCTTGGGAAAGGAATGAATCCATTCCTTCTCGCCCAGACCCAGCTGTAGGTAGAATAGCAGGCCAGGCCAGGCTGTCTACCCTTGCGTAGCAGCCGGTCTAGGAGGACTTTAAAAACAGAGGAGAAGGCAGAGACCATCTTTCCCAAATCGTCATAGAAATTCACAAATAGTAAAGAAAAGGAATCTGTTTGGTGTCTTGATCGACTACGCCCTGTAGTAAATATTTAAAAAAAAAAAAAACAGAATATTGATATATTTATATATGCATGATAAATACAGCGATTCTGACAGACAGATATGAGAAGACTTATTTACATGCGGACTAATCGTCTTTGTTGTTATTGTCATAAAGTTTCGGCTGTTGTGCTCCTCACCCCAGTCTTCATCAGATAATTGTTGATCCGGGTAACCTTCAGGAAATGCAGAAATAAAATCTTTATTTAATCTGTGTTGGAGACGGGGAGGATTGTTCTTGTTTCACTGACCATGTCTACTAAAATCTAATTCTTATTTAGTACTGATCAGTTATAGTTTGTCCCGTTTCCAAATAGCCCAAGGACAATAGTCCGCATGTAAACGACGCCCCATCCCAGGAATTGAAACAGAGACATATATCGGCTAATAGACATGATTTAATAGACTTTTTTTGCATATTAGACCTATATAACTTATTTAAAAAATAGACATAAAAATGACATTTTTGAGATATATTTTGAAAATAAAATGCCATACTTTTTTTTAGATAAATGATACGATTAAGTTCAATATAATTTAAAAAGTTAAGCTAAATTCAGTTCTGTTTCGTACTCAGATTCAGCAAAAATGATCTTTCTGACGTTTTAGGTAAAAGGGTAAAAGGTTGTTCACAAAGAAGTTAAGTCTAGTGTTTAATCGACTTTATTTCTGACAGCAAGTAGACTACAGAGAAAATTGTAAATATGAACAAATAAACATTCTCCATAAGATGGTAGTGTTTAGGAAATGACATAACTCCAAAGCCATTGCTAGTCGATTTTATGCTATAGTTGCCACATTGACGACCATAATAGGGTAATAATTTGTAGAGTCATGTTATGTCATAAGTCGAATGTCCTTTCCCCCTGAGATAAATTTGGCATTTTATTCTTGAGACGTGCATAGCGGGATTATCGACGCTTATATTAGATTTGAAATATAGAATAAAAATAATATCAGGATATTCTTATTTAGTATTGATCAGTTATAACTCTTCCCGTTTCCAAATGGCCCAAGGACAATAGTCCGCACGTAAACGACACCCCATCTCAGGAATTGAAACAGAGACATATATCGGCCAATAGACATGATTTAATAGACAGAATGAAAAAGCACCCAAAGAAAAAAATGCTTTTACATGAGAATTGAAGACCGACGTTAATGACACTACACGAACAAATGTCTGCGAGATTAAATACTAGACAACAAATGATAGCATGTCTGGCCGCTGTTATCCGATTATACCCGCCTTCAAGTGTGGCTAGCTAATCCTAATGTAGACGCTTGCTCAGGCAAAATCTGGTGTGATCAACAGTCTCAACAAGGTTAGAACGAACAAACCCTCGGTCACGAGGACTTGTGATTTAATGTTAGGACAACCATCGACAGTTTCATTCACAATTCATTAACCTAGTAACTAGCAGTTGAAATAAATTAATTTACTAAATAAAAATAAAAAAAAGTTTGACGCCTTCCCACTGCAAGCTAAAAAATCACTGCGCGCAGTTGCAAAACAAAACAAATTAAAGTATATTTGAAGTCGAGCATTTTCAGGTGGTTAAGTTAACAGCTGAATTGTGTCCCAAGATTCAAAGTCAGTCAGACATTTTTTGCGGGTATAATAATAAAGTTTTAGGCGATTTCTTGATTGTCTCAACAGAGCACGATTCTTTTGTGTTGGGATGAGATTTCAATCGATGTTAAAGAAGACAAGCGAAAGTCAAGGGTCTAATAGATCACGCAAGTATGGCAGATGATCTAAACGGGTTTTTGTGATTTACACCGACGGTAGAAGGCAGAATTGCCGACGACTATGTTTACAGTAAGGAGGAGAGAGAGAGAGAGAGAGAGAGAAAAGAGAGAGAGAGAAGAGGAGAAAAAAAAAAAAAGGGAGGCAGGAGAAAAAGAATAAAAATCAAAACGCAAAAAGCTAAAGATGGAGATAAAAAGACAAGAAGAAAAAGCATGAGAAAGAGAAAAACAAAAAGCGTGTGACGGAGAGAGAAGTAAAAAAAAAAGCGAGAGACGGAGATAAAAAGAGAAAAAAAAACAAAAAACGGGTGACGGTAAGAGAAAAATAAAAAAAAGCGGAAGAGAGAGAGAGAGAGAGAGAGAGAGAGAGAGAGAGAGAGAGAGAGAGAGAGAGAAAATGAGAGAGAAAATGAGGGAAACGGAGGAAAGAGGAAAAAAAAACGACGGAAAGAGGAAAAAAGAGACGGAAGAAAGAGAAAAAAAAGAAAAGTAGGAGACAGAGGAAAAAGGAAAAAAATAGTTTGGGGAGCCGATAGAAAAACAAGCAGGAATCGGAGGGAAAAAAAGAGAAAATGCAGAAGTAGGATGAAAAAAAAAGGGGTGGGGGAAGCAATAGACAGGGTAAAAAGATAAAATACTGTAGAAGGAAGGAAAATAAAAAAGTAAAAAAAAAGTAGGAAACGGATGGAAAAATAAAAGAGAAGATGCGGTAGACAGAAAGGAAAGAAAAGGAAATAAGAATAATTTGAAGACCGATGGTGGGGGGGGGATTGAAGAGAAAAAGCAGTAGACGGAGGGGAAAAAAGAGGAAAAACAATAGACAGAGTGAGAGAAAAAGAGAAACAGCTGTAGACGGAGACAAATAAAAAAAGTAAAAAATGCAGAAGACAGTGTGGGGGGGGGGGATAAAAAAAGAGAAAAAGCGGGAGATCGAATGAAAACTGAAAGTGAAAAAGGGGTAGACAGAAGGGAAAAAGTAAAAGAGTAGTAGTCTGGGGGAAAAATGAAAGAGGAGAAACGGTAGACAGAAGGGAAATAAATAAAAAGAATAAAATAAGTGGGAGATGGAGAAAAAAGAGGAGAGAGAGAGAGAGAGAGAGAGAGAGAGAGAGAGAGAGAGAGATTTGTCAATGAAAGATGCCGCCATAAAATACATAAGTAAACAAAATACAAATGGGGATTTAGATAATTTAATTTCATCTGAATGTCTGTTCAATGTAAAATCAATTCGAATAAAGACTCCTTTCCCCTTTATTTATTAAATGTTTTCTCAATCTCTGCACGTTTCATATTGCGTGTCTAAATGATACACAACACAACTGCATGAAAATTTATATAAGTGACTGAGACTGAATTGGTGTATAAGGACATCTCTCAGGCGTAGACTGACGCTTCCTTAACTCATTCTACAAATACCTACACCTCTGTACTAACGCCAACAACAGGCGTACATGCTGCAAAGAAGCTTGCCGTAAAGCGATGTTATTCTCACAGACTATAACGACTTTGGCCATCACTGACCATCGTCTGTTGGGATCTTCTCCTGGACATTGGATTTAGTGAGGAAGAAAATCGGATGTTTTTTTTTCTAAAAGAGAAAACTGGTATTAATGCGTGGGCGTAAACGTACACATACTATCTACGTTAATGCATATACCTGTATGCACAGGTGTATGTATTATATATGTGTGTTTATGCAGGTAAATTTATTTATATTTAGCAAGAGAAACAGGCCAAGTTGCGACCTATGAATTAGAGAATAGGAAAAGCAAACAGTGACACAAGCGACGGCTACAATCTTAATAAAATAAAGTATGAAGATGACACAATGTTGATAGTAGACACGGAATGGAAACTATAAAAGCTCCTACAGAAGATAGCGAAGGAAAGCGAGAAGAAAGAACTAAATATAGATACAAGAAGACAGAATACCTGTTTGTCAGCAAAAGGATAGATCCAGAATGCAAATCGGGGATAGTAAAATCAAACAAGTTCAAAAATTTCAATATCTGGGAAGTTTTCTAACATAGAATGTAAAGCGCATCATTGAGATCCGAAGGCGTATCATGATGACCAAGAATGCATTCCAGGAGCTAAGAAGAGACGAAGAAAAAAGTGCTGAACTGTTACGTGATATCTGTCCTCCTATATGGCACTGAATGCTGGACAATCTTCTCAAAGATGAAGAAGAGACTTTAAGCAATAAAAATGTATTTCTGCTGGAAGATGCTGAGGCTATCATACACCGAACATGTGAGAGCGACTGGAAACGAAAAGGAAACTTAGACTTAACACCAGGAAATTTCTGAGGCATGTAATGAGGAAAGAAAGCTCGGAAAATCTGATACTCACAGGACAGATTATGGGAAAGAGGGGCAGAGGAAAGCAGCGCGTAACATACTTGATGGGCTTGTGAAAATGGATGGCAAAATAGGGTTTGGGAGAAATAACTAAAAGATAAAACTTAAGAGTTACAAGGGACAGGAATATATGGAGAGCCATGATTGTTTACGTCCTGAAGGGACACGGCTCGTAAAAGAAGACACAAGTATAAATATCTGGGAACGGAAAATATGAGAGCGAAATCCGAAGTCGTATTGGAGTAGCAAAAATTCCTTCACAAAACAAAACTTTAATGGATAAGAAAAATTATTTAGAAACATTAGGAAAGATTACTTAGATGTAATATAATAGCAATTCTCCTATATGGCAGTAGATGCTGGAGAATTACCTCACAGATGAAGACATTCGAAGCAAAAGAAATGTTAATACAGAAAGATGCTGAGAATAGCTTAAACATAGCATGTAGGGAATGTGGTAGATTTAAGGAAAATAGAAAAAAAGAACATTTATACTTAGCATCAGGAAGGAATTGTTGAAATTTCTAGAATGTATAATGAGGAAAGAGAGCTTGGAGAATTTGTCACACACAGGGCATAATGAAGACAAATCAGAGGGAATCAGTGAATAACCTACCAAACAAGCTTGTGTAAATGGAGGACAGAACGAAACGGGAAGGGTAGTAAGAGCTACAAAGGATAGGAAGTTGTGGAGAGTCATGATCGTTCTCATCCTGAAGAATACAGCGCACAAAAGAAGAAGAATTTAGGGGAACGTGAATATTTGGGGAGGGGACTAGTTGTCTCTGCGTTCTTATCCAAGATTACAAATACCAAACCAGATTCCAATAAAAGAACTAATACACACACACACACACACACACACACACACACACACACACACACACACACACACAAACATATATATATATATATATAATAGGTAGGATAAAAAATCTACTTGCACGTATGTATAAATATATTTCTTCCTCAGCTGTTATAAATACAGTACTCAATGTTATGTAAGTAATATAAGTATATATTAGTGAATATACGTAATATCCAATGTCGATAGCAGACTTAGAGTTTCATGCAGTTCTTGCAATCTTCAGGTGCAAATATGTCCTAACTGCTATGGAGTTCGCAAATTATTAATAGTTAATTCTAATATTCTAATAATTTCGTCTCGGATGCTACCTGAATTTTACCAAAAAAAAAAAAAATTTCCATGCCTGAAGATGACTGAAGGTACAGTCGAAAGTACTTGCGTATTTAAGAAAGACCTTATACAGCTTATAATTTTGAAAAAACAAGGATCATAACATTCACGAGTGATTAGTAGGTTAAAGAATCTTTAAAATTTTGTTAGCGAAGGGAGTTCGCCAATTTATATCATTAACTTTACTAATTTATTTTTTGTATGAATGATTTATTGTAATATAAATTGTACTGCACCCCATATTTGATATGTGTGTGTGTGTGTGTGTGTGTGTGTGTGTGTGTAGAAATGAACCAGATATAGAGATATGATCGACTATGAAATTCTGAGACGTACTGTAAATATATATATATATATATATATATATATATATATATATATATGTGTGTGTTTTTGAATGGAAGGGTATTTGAGGTGAAATGTACAGCCTTTTGTACCAAAAGCAACTACTGTGTGGAATAGTACCAGCGGAACCTTTTCGATTTTTTAACCTTTAGCATTATTGATATTATTTCCCCTTTCCACTGCGTCTTTTGTCAGTGCCTGTTAATTGCTGTAAGAGCGCACAAGGACGTGGTAAAGGGTGTATATAATGGGGATCTGAAGAATAAATAACGGAAATAAATAATAGAAATAACGATAAAATAGCGAGAGGCTTACAACTTTTCGACTGTAGGAAATACAAAGCGTAGATTCATCATTCATACTTTTGAACTCTGTCGAGGCTGGGGATTGGGCGGCTCCAACTCAGATATAACAGCGAATATTCCTTTTTTTTTGTCTGATCTGGTTTTTGTAAAGGTCGAGCATGGCGGAAAGTCCCAGGTACTATTTGGAGCTGTACAAGCGGTATTTCTAAAACAAAATGTAAGAGTATGTGTTTCTTCGAAGAAAATAATCGTTAGGGCGTATGCTTTCCTGGGACAAATAATTGTGCCACAGAGAAAATTATTTGAAAATGATAAGCGTATTGAACCAAAGAAGCACCATACCAGTGTTGGGGGTTATTGAAGGAAATAATTATGCCGCTACTTGCATTTGATAGACAAGAATACCTGCATTGGAATTACTAACGCGCGCACACACACACAATCTTCCCGATCTTTCAATAAATAAATAAATAAAATTCAATCAGCAATATAAGCCATTCTATATGTTACTTTATTTTATATGATTTTCTAACGGATTTGTTCCACCACAAAAGACTATTTTTGCGTAAAGCTTTCTTTTTTTTAGCGGTCGCCATTTTTATCTTACCTTTAATCAATTACAAAAATGCTTAGCTCGCTTCAACAAATTCTTAGTTCAATGCTGGGATTGCTGGTGTTGGGAGAGTGAGTTGAACGGTGTACAAACTGGAAGAAGCAGATGAGAATGGAGATGCTTATTGTTCAGTTCAGACACTAATAATCGCAATCAACATCGGATTTTCAGGTATAACGCAATTGTCTTTTTCTATGTGCGATCATGGTCCTCTACAACTTCCTATTCCTTGTAGCCTTTAGCAGCGTTTATCTCTATGTCAAGCCTCCTTCCGATCCGCTATAAATTAATGCTCGTCAAATAGATGGCCTGCTGCCTTCCTCTATCTCTCTTGATCCCGATATACCCTGTGAGGTTTAAGTTCTCCTAGCCCTCTTTCCTCATTGCATGCCCAAGAAATTTCGGTAGTCTCTGATTCTGAGTATAAGTATTCTTTTTGTTACCATTTTCCTTAAGACTTCCTCGTTACTTCCTCGCTCCATCCATGCAATTCTCAGCATCCTTCTGTGTAACCATATTTCTGATGCCTCTAGTTTCTTCTTTATCTGTGGGGGAGATTGTTCAGTATTCACTGAGGATTGATAACACATAAAAGTTCAGCACTCTTTGTTTCTGACGAAATGTTCCTGTTTCTTAGTACAGACAAAACTCCCATCAAATGGGGTGGGCGATCATTTAAAGCTAATTGTCCGTAGAAGGAAAGGGATTATTTTTTGAGTTTTAAAACCACTATAAGTATATATACCAGTAGTTATGATCATAATGCAAATACAATAAACATGTATATGTGGCATAAATAAATATATACTTATAGATATATTAATCAAAATAACAAAAATAGTTGATTTCTCACAGGTAATTTCTCACGCAAGCGCTAATGTATCTTACTTTATATACTGTACCCACGTCTTTATTTACAATTGAAAGGCCAGCTACCGCCGCCAAGCGGTCACGTTGAGAACTAATACGACTCGTTCCGTTAAGCTCGCAAATTTTGAAATAAATCGCTGACGATTTGGAAGTTTTTTTTTACCTGCAAAACTTCTTTTTTTTTTATTTTGCCTGCAGATTTTGTCCGTTGTATCCGAAGTCCGTTGATGAGGGATCCGTTGATGAGAAGTTTCTCTATACTTTCCTTTCGGAAGGGATCGTTCCGTAATCTAGTGATTGTTCAAATTTTGGTGTCTGCATGTAATATTAATAACCTGAATTTGTGAAGTGCGCTCCCCATGTATCTGTGATACTTCCTGGCTAACCCCCGTTTTCATACACATTTCTGTAAAAACTTCTGTGGGACAAAGGTAATTAAACAAAATGTTATATAGG